GGCACTAAATCAGCCCTAGCATCTGACATATCTGACCAAAGGAAATCAGGCGATGCAACTGGAGCAGCAAAGCGAAGACCCTTCAATCCTTCCCCCAGTTAACAGATGGAGCTTATTAATGAACACCATATTCATCATGTTCCCCAAACCTCAATTCACTCACCCAACAGCCACTACTAAACCAATTCTATAAATCTAGGCTCCTTGATGAACCGCCGACCCTAGTCGCCGTCGCATTAGGGGACACTTTGCAACTAATAAGAAAACAACCCTTTTCTACCTAAAGTCACATCCAAGCCAAGAGAGTGACACCTCCAAATGTACCCTATGAATAAATCCGCCGACGCCAGTCGAGCGTGTAGATGGCAGTCCGCAACTTGGTCTTGCTTCGGATCTTTTATCAAAGCCGGAGGCTTTTGGGGCTGCCATTTTCTGGGCATGGTGTGCTGGGTATCCAAAACCCTGTAATTGTCCAGTGTTTTTGGGGCTTGCGTGCTAAACATATGCGTTTCGCCTAGGTCTCTAGGGGGGGGTTTGCCCGGACGCGCAGGATCTGCATCCCCAGCATGATCAGGACACCTTGCTGCCATGAATTTGTTTCTTTTTTTGCAGATACTCAAGGTGTTTTGCTGTTTCAAGCGATGTTGGAATCGGCCTGTTAGGGGTCTGGGTGGGGCCAAGTGCAGTGATACGTTGAGGAACTGCTTGAATTTCCAAGAATAAGTGTTTTTGCAATTCCCCAACTGTGCGGAGAGTTACTGCGAAACATCTCGTGCTTTTGGAAGTTTATTCTTAGGGTGGTTGATTTTGGGAAATATCAAAAACAAACCTGGTTTTTGGGACTTTTTGTGGCCAGCCGGCTGCATTCCCAGCATTCCCGGCATCTCCGGTATTTTCTGTGTTTGGTCAATTTTGCGTGTCTGAAAGTCTTGAAACTTTGGATGCGAAGATTGGGTCTGTTCCTGTACGTTGTGTGGTTGCATCCCTTGCATTTCCAGCATCCTCAGTATCACGAAACAAAAGGTCTTGAAATCCCTGCACCCCACTGGCGTCGGCGGATCGCGTAGCGATTTCAATTTCGTTCTGCCCCCAGGCGAACATAAATATATATATATATATATTTGGCCATGGGGCATAACCTATGGCTCCTGTTCGGGGTGGATGAACCTATTTTCATGTTCACCAGGATTACAGGGTTTTGACCCACAGCCATTTATTCTTGGGGGGAATTTCTTCGGGGAACTGATTTTTTGCCTTGCGAAGCCGCCTCCTCGCCAGCCCCGCTTGACCTGGCAGAAACTGCCCTCAA